TTTAAGATCCCCTCCTAGAATCTCTAAGCCTTTTAGATCCTTGTATCAGATCAGGTTCTGCTTTCCTTTCACCTCATGCCTGTGTCTGTCATTCTGCCATTGACTAGTTTATTACTCCTTGTACCAGGTGTGACAGTTTGGGAGCTGATGACCTTTGGGGCAGAGCCCTATGCAGGGCTGCGATTGGCTGAAGTACCAGATCTGCTGGAGAAGGGGGAGCGATTGGCACAGCCCCAGATCTGCACCATTGATGTCTACATGGTCATGGTCAAATGTGAGTTACCTGCTGACCTCAGACATTTTCTAATTGGACTTCTTTCCCCATTCTATTCCCCCCTTATGGCTCTGCCTCCTACAACTTTTACCCTCAGGTTGGATGATTGATGAGAATATTCGCCCCACCTTTAAAGAACTAGCCAATGAGTTCACCAGGATGGCCCGGGACCCACCCCGGTATCTGGTCATAAAGGTGAGTAGGGATTAGGAGATGTCAAGGAATTTAGAGAAAAGGGAGCTTGGCTAGAACTAGGATCAAACTTAACAACATCTGCCCCAATAGAGAGAGAGTGGGCCTGGAATCCCCCCTGGGGCAGAGCCCCCTGCTCTGACAAACAAGGAGCTGGAGGAAGTAGAACTGGAACCAGAGCTAGACCTGGATCTGGACTTGGAGGCAGAGGAAGACAACCTGGCAACCACACTGGGCTCTGTCCTCAGCCTGCCAGTTGGGACACTTACTCGGCCACGTGGGGTAAGACTTCTTCTAATTGCCCAACTCTCTAACATGACCATCTGCAAATCCCACACATAACCAGAGTTAACTACTCAAAGGCCCCCATGACAAGAGTAGACTTCTCTCAAACTGTCTCTTACTTTTTTTTATCCTAGAGCCAGAGTCTTCTAAGTCCATCATCTGGATACATGCCCATGAACCAGGGTAATCTTGGGGAGGCTTGCCAGGTAAGGTCTGCCTCTTTAATGAGCTGTTTAAAGACTGGGTGGCACAGGGTCCTAGGATTGACAAGGTCAACATGAAAGACATTATTTAACTTTTTATTTTTTTAAATTAAGTGTGATTTGAGTGAAAGTTTACAAAGCAAATTCACTTTCCATATAGCAGTTCACATACACTTTGTCTCATGACATTGACTGGAATTTCCCACAATGCAACAACTCCCCTCCCACTTCCTACCCATAGTTACCTCTTCCCTGCGTCCCTCCCTCCATGCACTCCTGCCCCATGAACTGTGTCCCTGTGTATAAACAGCCCTTCTAGTCTCCCATGATTGTTCTCTCCAAGGAGTGTAGATGTTCATCACATATGCCTGTCTTTTGTTTGGCTGGAGTGGGTTCAATTCCAGACCTGAAGGGCAGCTAGGGGTCATAGTCTCAGTGGTTCCATCACACTCTATCAGACCAGCAAACTTGGTCCCTTTTTCTTTATGATTTTGAGTTTTGTTCCACATTGTTCTCCCACTCTATCCAGGATCTCCTACATAGATCCCCCTCCGAGTGGTTGACAGTGGTAGCTGGGCACCATCTAGTTCTTCTGGTCTCATAGTTGTATAGGCTGAGGATTGCATAGACTAATTGTTTCCATGTGTCTTTGGTTTTTTTTCATTCTTCTTTGCTCTGGAGGAGGAGAGACCCAACTTTGCGTCTAGATGTCTGCTTGCAAGCTTTTAAGATCCCAATCTCTACTCACCAGACTAGGATGTGAAACAATGTTTTTCTGTAGTATGTTATGCCAATTGAGTGGATGTCCCCTGCAGCTATGGTCCTGAGCCCACAGGTCCAGCTACCCTCTGGGTAGCTGGCTATGGCCAAGAAGTGACTACGACCTTGTCAGCTCTACTATATGCCTGGGAATTCTTAATAGAACATACAAATACACTTGTAGAAACATTGGAGAGACATTAACTTTTGAGGTTTAATCAACATCCTGCAAAAAGAAGAAGACATTGATCAAACCAATCTCCTTCTAAAATAATGTTTGTTTATTCCTCATCTCTGGGTAATTCCCTGTGTATTATTTTCTATTTCCCTCCTTAGGAATCTATAGTTAGTGGGGGTAGTGAAAGGTGCCCCCGTCCAGCCTCCCTGCATCCCATGCCACGCCAACATCTGACATCAGAGTCATCGGAGGGCCATGTGACAGGCTCTGAGGTTGAGCTCCAGGAGAAGGCATCAATGTGTAGAAGCCGGAGCCGGAGCCCGCGACCACGTGGGGACAGTGCCTACCATTCCCAGCGCCATAGCCTACTTACTCCTGTCACCCCACTCACCCCACCAGGGCTAGAGGAAGAAGATGTCAATGGTTATGTCATGCCAGATACCCACCTTAAAGGTGACTTTTCCTAGAGCTTTCCTCAAATCTTCCTCTAATCCTTTTTCTCCAGGCTCCTCTTAATCATTTTATCTTCTCTGATCATATCCCTCCTCTTCATTTTTTCTAACTTTCCCCCACTCCCTGCTGCCTATTACTCTGAAGTTCTCCATATACCCACCCTCTCTTCTCAACCATCAGGTACTCCCTCCTCCCGGGAAGGCACCCTTTCTTCAGTGGGTCTCAGCTCTGTCCTGGGTACAGAAGAAGAAGATGAAGATGAGGAGTATGAATACATGAACCGGAGGAGAAGGCACAGTCCACCTCGTCCTCCTAGGCCAAGTTCCCTTGAAGAACTGGGTTATGAGTACATGGATGTGGGATCAGACCTCAGTGCCTCCCTGGGCAGCACACAGAGTTGCCCACTCCACCCTGTGCCCATCACGCCCACTGCTGGCACAACTCCAGATGAAGACTATGAGTATATGAATCGACGACGCGGTGGAGGAGATCCTGGGGGGGATTATGCATCCATGGGGGCCTGCTCAGCAGCTGAGCAAGGGTATGAAGAGATGAGAGCTTTTCGAGGGCCTGGACACCATGCCCCCCATGTCCATTATGCCCGTCTCAAAACTCTACGGAGCTTAGAAGCCACTGACTCTGCCTTTGACAACCCAGATTACTGGCATAGTAGGCTTTTCCCCAAGGCCAATGCCTAAAGAACATAACTCTCTGCTCCTAAAGGTGCTCAGGGAGCATTTGATGGCAGCTAGTGCCTTAGAGGGTACCCCTCTATTTTTTCCTCCCTCTCCCTCACAGGTCTCAGCCCCATTTCCCCAGTCCTAGACAATTCCATTCAACCGATGGAGGCTTTTAAACACTTTGACACAAAATTATTGTGGTATGTAGCCAGCTGCGCACTTTCTTCTCTTTCCTAACCCCAGGAAAGGAAGTTTTCCCTATTTTGTGTGCTTTCCCAATCTCATTCCCCAGCTTCTTCAGGGGGACTCCCTCGAGATATGAAGGATTATTCCCCATGTCCTTTTCTTTCACACTCTGACTTGGGACTAGGCCCTTCAATATGCCTTTGTTTCCCACACTAGTCTAAGGAAGAGGAAAGGGGTGAACCTGGCAAAGGAAAGTAACATTTGTGTCCTATGACTCTTAACCCCTTGAAAAGACTGGGAAGCTTAAAATTTTGTGCAGCAGAAAGGTTAAGAGTAGATATTAATGATAGCTATTAATTGAGCATTTACTGTGTGCCAGGCATCATCATGCTAAACTTTACCTACATTATCTCAAACCTTACAATTCTGTAAGGTAGGTATTATCCCCATTTTACAAATGAGAAAAGCGAGCTTTTAAGTGGCAGACCAGATTCAAAATCTTCCTGATTTCAATGTATGTGCTCTTACATGCATTATAGGCATTACATGCATTACATTGCATGCTCTTACAGGTGTCCAGGAAAACTGATAAAAGTCAGTCAGAACCTTTGTAAGGGGCATTGTATCCTTGTTTTTGCACTGAATCAATTCTAATGCCAACAACCACAGCCTCCTCCCACACCCAGACTCCTCATCTCAGGAAGTAGAGGAAGAGGCCAGAAGGAAAATTAACTGGGTATTTTTTTTGTAAATCTATAACCAGCAAGTGCTATAAATTATCTCCACTCCTTATCCAAGGACAGATTCACAAAGGGTCCCCAAGATCCATTTTTAGGAGCTATTCTCTTCTGTTAGTGAGAAGCCTCCAGTTGGCATTGAAAAGGGACTCAGTTCTGGACCTCCCTCCCATTGGATGAGAAACTGGGGGAAATGTCTTTTATCACTGAAGTTTTTGTTTTGTTTTTATACATGTCTGAATAAAATGCCAAAGTTTATTCAGCTTCCTATCTGTCAAGTGAAGAAAACCATCAGTGTGTGAGCTAAGAGAGCATCCCTTTTCTCTGTTCCTCTGCAGTGGGTAGCAACTGGGGGCATGCTGCCTTTTCTGCCTTCTGACTGCCATACTCTGTCCTATATAGCTTTTCTCCAGCTATACTTCTTGTTTTTCCTTAAGCACAGTGCACAGTCCTTTTCACTTGAGATTTTAACTAGGACTTTCCATAGAATAACCAACTGAGAATAATAACAGGAAGAAAGGGAAAAAAAAAACGCGGGAGGAAGCCTTACATAGGTGATTGGTTTTAGCTGATAGGCTCCCTCGTTCAGGAGCAGGACACCGACACTAGTAGATAGATGCTTCAGAACTCTCATTTTCATAAGACGATCTCCGTGTAAATCTTCCCGAACACTTCCCTTAGGTGCCACTAAACTACTGTTGGAACTACAGGGCGATCTCACTCAGCAGGAGTCCAGCCTCCAGACTGGGAGCTGTAAATGGATAATCCCTTCGAAGTCAGGGCGTCTTGTTAGTCCAGGCTCCCTGAGTCACCTACCACACCACTTGGCCCCTCCCCAGTCTCTTAGCAACCCATGACTGGACCAGACCTGCAGGGCCGGTCCCCCCACCCACCTCAAGGGTCGGGAGAAAGGTGCGCCACGCCGGACCACTCGCCTCCGATCCACCCTGCCCCTCCGCCTTCAGACCTAGTTCCCCGCCCTAGCTCCACCCCTTCGCCCTCAGGCCGCCCACCTCTATTACGAGCTCTCGCTCAGCGCTCCTGGTAGATGTGGTTTTTCCGGGAGAGACCACGCTTTCCCTCATGCTCTCCAACGGCTCCGCCTTCCCGCCGGTGCCTGACCCTTCCCAGCGTGCCCGGCGATTCCGGCGTGCGAGGCCCTTGGAGGGCAAGGCCCCAGGGCCTGGCTTAGGAGCGCGAGAGGCTGTCTGGGAATTGTAGTTCACGAATCCACGAGGGCAGCCAGAAGCTGGCGGTGAAAAAGACTCGTTGTCCCAGCGTGCTCTGCGCCCCAGCCCGCGCGCTCTCAGCTTCTCGCTCTCGGCTGCCCGCCCGCTCCTTTGCTTGCTCGCGCTTTCGTTCGCGCTCTGCTCGCGGGTCGAGGAGTGTCTGCCTACAAGCTGTGGCTGGGAAGGGAGGCAGAGGCGGCGGCTCAGGGGAAAAGAGGCTGCGGTGGTGGTGGTGGGAAGATGTCGGGCGAGGACGAGCAGCAGGAGCAAACTATTGCCGAGGACCTGGTCGTGACCAAGTATAAGATGGGGGGCGACATCGCCAACCGTGAGTGCGGCCTCAGGGGTCCGGGGTTCGAGGCTGTGGGGGATGATGCCAGGCTGGCCATGGAGTGACTGGAGCGGCAGGGTCGTGCGAAGTGAGCTACTGAGGGGCCTTCGCCGGTCCGCTGGTGGCGGCGTGGTGGGAATACTCAGAGCTACGCCTGGGACCTGACCGTCCAGGCCTGGGCTGGAGTCTGGACATAAGGGATAGCGGCGGGAAATAGCTGAGAGTGGGGCTGTTACCGGTCTCGGACCCTAGGCCGTTGGTAATGAGGTAAAGCACCTCTCTTTCTACGCTGCACTCCTTGGTCCTCTGGGCCTCTAGGAAACGGAGGTGTGAGGGGCTTGGCGGGCCTCTGTCCGGATCCCTGATTTCTCACACTCTGGCAGCGGTGGCCACCACGGAAAGGAAGCGCCCAGCTGTTGGCGACAGAAGGGCTCCTCTGTTTTGTCGCGGCTCCTGAGCGTCAGGAGCCGACAACTGGCACGTGTTGCTCGGTCCCCGTGCGGATCGCTCACCCTTTTTCTCTGTTACCATACTTGACACCAGCTACCCCACCACGTGCTTTACTGGAGTCTCCTTCTTTGATTCACCTCTATTCCTGGTGGGGGCCTCTTTCTACCCTTAGGCAGCCCAGGAGACTGTTGGAGGCACCCCTGGAGCGTCTAAACACAACTTTTGGAGGTTTAACTGGCTTTCCTTGAATTTACACATTACTACTGCTCCGATCTGTGCACATAGCCTTACCCAGAAATCAGACCCCTGCCATCGATTCGATTCCGACTCATTGCGACCTTATAGGACAAAGTAGAACTGCCCCATAGGGTTTTCAATGCTATAAATCATTACGGAAGCAGACTGCCTCAGCTTTCTCCCGCTGAGAGGCTGGGTGCTTTGAACAGCCGACCTTTGGTTAGCAGCCGAATGCTCAACCACTTTGCCACCAGAGCTCCTGCACATTGCCTTAGCCCCAAAATTTAATTGTTCGCAGGAACTTGACAGCTCTGGGAATGTTTTGAGGTGCTCTCCTCCAGCTCCCCATAGGCAAGCTTGTGAACGGTATTGGAAGGGGGTGGGGAACTGATTTCAGGATTGTCATCCTTGTTATAAGGGCTGTACTGACTCTCAACAGCTGCCTGCAGCTCTAGGCAAGTGTCTCACTTTCAATTTTCTCTTTCTAGTTCACCTTTCCATTTTAAAACCTAGTTAGGGAGAAAAACAGTTTGTCCCTAGGCTTTTAAATGGTTTTGACAGAAATAGTTGGGGAGGAGGTACTTAGGATGCTTTTGGGTCCTATGGTTGAGATAGCTTTTTTTCTGAGACTTCCAAAGAGTTAATAAAACTTAGATCTCAGTATTAGAATGGACCCTAGAGCATCCATTGAATGTAACCTATGGACGTTTAGTATATTATGTTAGCCTTATTTTTGGTACTTTTTAGTTTGGGTAGTAATGGCTTGAATCAGGAAAAAAGTGCCTTTCTCTTTCCAGAAGTTTATAACTTCTGAGACACTAATGATCCAAATTCCAGTTTTGAAACTTTTTGGGTCACCTACAGATAGACTGTAAATTATAAACTATAAATTGTAAGTTAAGCCTGCTGAAACTCAGGGACCTTAGATTAAGTACCCATATATACTTGCTTATGAGGAAATAAGTGTGCATAGATTGAGATTACTAACACTTAATTGGTTGTCTGAGAAGAGCAGAAGGTAATATTTAGCAATGCATCAGCTTTGAGTCAGCAAACTCTGTCTACCTTCCTGTTTCTGACGCCTATAAATTTCTTCTAGTCTGCTTTGCATGTATGTTGGATGCCTTGGCCACATACCCTTAAAGTTCAGTAAACTCTTGTCCTACCACACCAACGGTATCATGTTTGGGAAGTCCAAGACCTTGCTTAGGGAGACAGATTATATGTATTATATATACCTGGTTGTCACATTATGTAATGGAGGGAAGGGCGAGTAGACATTACAGATGATAGGTAGATACATTCCAAGAGGTAAAACTTGTTCCTGCTTTCACCCTCAAGGTAGGGGCACTAGAGTGTATTAGGAATCCTGAGTCCAACTTCTAGGTATTACTTGGGGGGACAGGGGAGACCTAAATAACACATGCAAGGTTAACATGATGGAATTCTGTCCTAGGTGTCCTTCGGTCTTTGGTGGAAGCTTCTAGCTCAGGTGTGTCGGTACTGAGCCTGTGTGAAAAAGGTGATGCCATGATTATGGAAGAGACAGGGAAAATCTTCAAGAAAGAAAAAGAAATGAAGAAAGGTAAAAACAAAACAAAACAAAGCCCCACTAGTTTCCTAAAAGCTTTTTTGTTTTGTTTTGTTTTGTTTTTTCATTTTGATGATAGAATCTACACCTCATCTGTGGTTGAGATACTTGGAAATTTGAAGTGATAGATTGGATACAGGCCATTTACTACCCAACCTAAGCTGATTACAAACTTAAGCAAGAGAAGCAGTAGGCTAATAGAAGTTCTGTCTTTACAGGTATTGCCTTTCCCACCAGCATTTCAGTAAATAACTGTGTATGTCACTTCTCCCCTTTGAAGAGTGACCAGGACTATATTCTCAAGGAAGGCGATTTGGTAAAAATGTAAGCTTAAACCAATATAGATCACTATATTGTTTTCCTGCTAAGTATGTAGTGCCATTTCTTAAGTTCATAAATTCCTAATAGTGTACTCTACTCTTGTTTTTCAGTGACCTTGGGGTCCATGTGGATGGCTTCATTGCTAATGTGGCTCACACTTTTGTGGTTGATGTAGCTGAGGTAGGTAGCCTGCTTTGAACTCTTTCTGTTCAATGGGGAAGGGGGGGTGCCAAACTGTCTCCTGTCCCTGTGGCGTCGTCATTGTCCCCCCACCCACTTCAGTTTTGAGTCTTTAGAGAAGCAAAAAGAAAAAGGTGGTCGCTTTTGGCCTTGCATAGTGGGTATATGGATGTTAACCATATGACCAGCTGAGTTGAAGAGCCCTGGAATGCTCTAATTGTATTTCCTCCTCTTATCTACAGGGCATCCCAGTAACAGGGCGGAAAGCAGATGTCATTAAAGCAGCTCACCTTTGTGCTGAGGCTGCCCTACGCCTGGTCAAACCTGGAAACCAGGTAAACTGTTTTATCCAACTCTAAAAGCGTAATAGAGCCAAAGATGCATTTATCACCTACTGTATTCTGTATTGAACTGTCAACTTTCCCCCAGTCCCCTTACACTACAAAACCAAAGCTGCTTTTTATTAGGTACATCTTAGGATAGGATTTCTTAAAGAGGCAGGAACTTTAGATCTTAACACTAGACAGTGGTTAACTCTCAGTGCCTGCCATAGACAATACTGTGCTATGTGTATGGGTATATGTGGTCTCCTCCTCATGGAGCCTATAGAGGTCTTTTCTATATGCTGCTTTCCCCACAATAACTTTAGTTAGGTAGCTTACAATAAAAGATATAAAACTCATTTAATTAAAAAATCTTATAACAGTGGTCAAATTGTAAAAAGGAGTAGAGGGAGGTAAACCATTGCCAAAGAGGCCAAAAGTTAGCTCTGTACTTTTCATAATCATTAGGATCGTAAAATGCTCATGAACCAATACAATTAAGCATATCAGATGTTATGTTGCTGGAGACATTTCTTTTCTAACGTGAGTTTTTAGAGACCTATTGTCCTTTTTTCTCTCTTCTTCTGCTCTCTTGTTCCTCATTCTTCACTTTTAAACAATGTGTATTTTATTCCTGTTATTTCTTCATTGTTTTTATTTAACTTTTCTATGTCTTAATCTAATGATTATCTTAATGATAATTCCTAGGCCTGTTATAAAATACTTGGGACAGTTCCCAGTGTATGTTGTTGTTATGTGCTGTCAAGTCGGACCCTACTCATAGCGATCATCTTCCTTCTGAGGAGTGGCTGGTGGGTTTGAACCGCCAGCCTTCTAGTTAGCAGTCAAGTGCCTTAGCCACTCTGCTACCAGAGCTCCCTCCCAGTGTATAGTAAGCTATTATTATGATTTTGCATTTTTATTTTATATGGTATGTAAGGTAGTGTTGTAATGGCTAGTACATAACTATAAAAGCAGACTCTGGGTTCACACCCTATTACTGCCCCTTTTTAAAAATAAATTTGAGGTCATATTTCCTCACCTATAAAATGGGAAAAATAAAATTAAGCTGTATTCTCATAGAGTAGTTGTGACAGTTAAGATAATTCATGTAAAATGGTTAGAACAGTACCTGATAATAAATATGTTACCTCTGATTAGTTACGCACTTTTCTTTTTGCCTAAATATTCAGTGCCATAAAGTCGATTCCGACTCACAGTGACCCCCTTTGAGTTTCTGAGGCAGCACATCTTCACGGAAACAGATTGTCTAGTCTTCCTTCTGTGGAGTGGCTGGTAGATTTGAACCGCCAACCTTCTGATTTGCAGTCAAATGCCTTAGGCACTACGCCACTAGAGCTCCTTAAGAACCATAGCTTAGGTGAGGATGAGATCATGTTTGAAAGAGGTGAGAAAGGAAAACAGGAGTTTGCTGCCTCTTCTCTACAGTAGATTGGAATACCAGGTACACACACTGTATTGAAGTCAGAAAACCTGGGTTTATGACCAGGTTCTTCCACTTAAACTTGTTTTAAGCCTGAGCAAATCATTTAACCTTTCTGAGCCTCTGTTTTCTCATCTTCTACATTTGGTTATAGATTTGCCCTGTTGACCTTCCAGAACTGTTGTCTGATTAGACCAGGTTTGTGAAAGTGCTTTGTAAAATTATATCCAAATATAAGATATTTTTTACATTAGAGGGATATAGGGCTAAGAAATGAAAAATAAGGAGACTCATTACACTAGATAGAGAATATTAGAACTCGCACCTCTTAAGTGTTTCTTATTCTCGTGAAAGAGGACTTACTAGCCCGTTATCTCACCTTTTCTTTGATCTTGTACTTCTAGAACACACAAGTGACAGAAGCCTGGAACAAAGTTGCCCACTCATTTAACTGCACGCCAATAGAAGGTGAGACCTCAGATAATAGTGTTGGGTGTAAGGACAAGTGGTTTAGCAGAATTAAGGCTTTTGCTTCCTGAAGAAGCCATCTCCCTCTAGTTTAGTCTAGATCAGAAACTTCAGGGCCCTGTGTTTCCAGAGCCAGGTACTTTTCTCTCATCGCCTGCCCCCATCAAACTGCTTAGGTGGGTAGATTTAGAAACATTTCTGGGTTTCAGATGACTGGTACCACCTGCTTTATCCTGTCTGTAGGTATGCTGTCACATCAGTTGAAGCAGCATGTCATCGATGGAGAGAAAACCATTATCCAGAATCCCACAGACCAGCAGAAGTAGGTGCCAATCCCACCCCATCATCCATCATACCAGACTAATACTCAACTTTTTCTTCCATATTGCCAGTCTGATTTTGTCCACTGTCTATTCTAAATTCCTAGGAACTACTTATTGCTCTTTCTTAATGGTTCCCTTTCCTACTTCTTTTTAGGAAGGACCATGAAAAAGCTGAATTTGAAGTACATGAAGTATATGCTGTGGATGTTCTTGTCAGCTCAGGAGAAGGCAAGGTGAGGTTTATGAGAACTAACTAAGGGGGTTGACTGAAGGTGTGTTGGAAGAGCACAGGCCTAAATGTCATCTAACTTACTCTTAGGCCAAAGATGCGGGGCAGAGAACCACCATTTATAAACGAGACCCCTCTAAACAATATGGCCTGAAAATGAAAACTTCACGTGCCTTCTTCAGTGAGGTGGAGAGACGTTTTGACGCCATGCCATTTACTTTAAGGTACTGTGCTTAGCAAGTGGAGGACTTATAACCAATCTAACTCACAGACCATGATCCTAGGAACCTTTTCCCTCTATCTCCCTTCTCCCCTTTTGCCTAGACTTGTAGTACAGACATACTCTTTTCCCACTTCTCCCCCTTCCCTGATTGAATGGGAAAGCCTTCCTAAGCATAAGCCTGAGGTTAGGAACACTTTTTAAAACATGAGTGAAATGGTGAGACTTGAAATGTTAATAATACCTGAATTTTTCCCCTACCCAGAGCATTTGAAGATGAGAAGAAGGCCCGGATGGGTGTGGTAGAGTGTGCCAAACATGAACTGCTACAACCATTTAATGTTCTCTATGAGAAGGAAGGTAAGTTCTAAAAAGAGAGTTTGACTTCTATATGGTACCTCCTTCTCCTTTATATCATATAGGGAACAGAGCTAAGTATCAAAACACTTCTTTGTTTTTCCCATAGGTGAATTTGTTGCCCAGTTTAAATTTACAGTTCTACTCATGCCCAATGGCCCCATGAGGATAACCAGTGGTCCCTTTGAGCCTGACCTCTACAAGTCTGAGATGGAGGTCCAGGATGTAGAGCTGAAGGTTAGTGTGGGATGGAAAGTAAGCAGCACGTGGCACCTGTCCTGAGAGCAAGGGTGAAATGCTGTTAGTGTTATAAAAAGAGCTATAGTACTAAGATAACACTTCATGTTAAGTGTCTCCTCCACATTCTTCATATTGTTGCCTCTTCGTCCTATTTTCTAGGCCCTCCTCCAGAGTTCTGCAAGCCGGAAAACTCAGAAAAAGAAAAAAAAGAAGGTGCTTTAATGATCATCCCTCCCTGGCTGGGTGAACCTGGTCCCTCTTTATTCTACCTTCCTGGGTGGTGGCGGGGTATATATCCTTATTTTCTCCCATCTCAGCCCTACCTAGATGATTAAGGTATTTTTCTCTTTGGTCCTCCATACACTACCCTGAGTATCTGAAAACTGATAGGTCTTCCTGTTCTCCATTCTCCGAATATAGGCCTCCAAGACTGCAGAGAACGCAACCAGTGGGGAAACATTAGAAGAGAATGAAGCTGGGGACTGAGGTGGGTCCCATCTCCCCAGCTTGCTGCTCCTGCCTCATCCCCTTCCCACCATACCCCAAGCTCTGTGAAGTGCAGTTCGTCTTCTCCATCCAGGACCACCAGCAGAGCGGGGTCTCCCTGCCCCTATCCCAGTCCCCCAACCCACCCCTTTCCAACAACAACCAGCTCTAACTGACTCTGGTCTTGGGAGGTCAGGCTTCCCAGCCACTGAAGACTACTTTAAATAGAAAAAGAGAAATTGAATAATAAAATCAGGAGTTAAAATCCATCATCTTCAAGCCCCTCTTTCTAGTCTTTTTCTACTATGTTTGGTCAGTGTTGGTGGCCCTACAACAGAACAGGGAGGAGGCTAAATTAGCCACCACCACTAAAAACTGAGCTGAAATTTTTTTATGCCACTCAAATGACAGCATATTGTCATCCATTTGGGGCTTTTTCTCTCTTTCCTCACTTCCCTAAAGTATTTTATCTGGCCTCAACATAGAGGAAAACATTGTTTTTATTCACATGGCAGTTTCCTCTTAATTGTCCAGGCTGTCTGGTCAGGCCTCTCCCATTTTAAGGAGCTGGAACCTGCGTTTACCAAGGGATTATCTGTCAAACGGATCCTCACTTGTAAATTTTGAGTCATTTTTGTTTTGCAAGATTTTTTTCTTTTCCTTTTCACAAAGCTATAAAGAAGTAATCCATCTCAACCATGTCCTTTTCTTTGGAGCCAGCAAGATCTTTCCTTCCTCCATCTTAGGCAAACTTGAGCTGGAAACTCAACTGTGGTTTTATTCCCTGTATGAGATATTTTGACCTCCCCCTTTTGAAAGAAAGACCAGGAACCAGAGTTACAGACTGACTGAAGAGACAACTCCTGGCTCTTTCTGAAGTTGTGGACCTGGATTGGATGAATTGGTGGGGGTTTGGAGAGAAAGGTGATGAATTTCAGTACCTCTGGCATGCTGTCCCAGAAAACTAGGGCTCCCACTAACTTATGAGGTTTTTAAACACATTAAAAATAAGATGGTGTTAAAATAAATTTGGATTTGGTCATACTGATGATGTGCATTTGTATGCTGCTTTTATTTGATGGAGGTGTGGGGAAGTACCAGTTTGAGTAAGTGATGATCAATTTGAAACGCCTTTTCTGCAGTGCCATACTCTACCTTCCTAATCAAAGCATACTTGGTGGTGGTGGTATGTGTGGTCGAGTCGGCCCCGACTCATAGCTACCCCTCCTTCAGTTTCCGAGGTGGTATCACTATGGAAGTAGATTGCCCAGCCTTCCTTGCGAGGAGTGGCTGGTGGGTTTGAACCGCCAGCATTCTGGTTAGCAATCAAACGCCTTAGGCACTATGCTACCAGAGCCCCAAAGAATACTTGGAGTTGGGGAAAACAAAAGTCCTGGGTTCTCTGAATTATGATTTAGTAAATTACCTATAGGAATATGATGGTAATTTCAGTTTTCTAAACTAGAAATGTACCACTTGTTGACACTTTGTTCACAACTAGGATGTTAACGTTGTGTACTGCAAAATAAATATCTAAGAAGAAAGGAATAATGCCTTTAGGTTTTTAATGTTGAATAAAAATCAGGAGTCAAAATTTACAGTCTTTGCACCTCTGTCTTTTTTCCACAATTCTCTGTGTCAGGGCCAGGCAGATTGAGTGGATATTTGTTATTTAGATTTGAGTATCTTAACTACATGTAAGGCACTGCTGACCTGGAGACAGTACAATGAACAAGACTGGACATAAGTCCCTTCAGATCTTACAAATTAACAGGGAATCAACCACTGAAATCTTTATAGACAAAAAAATTCTGCTGGAATTTTTTAAATGTTCTCAGAAACTTCTCATACTCTGATGGTGACAATACTGAACAACCTACACTTGTAACAAACCAAGAAAAAAACCTACTAGGGTAAAGTTGATTCTGACAGAATAGAATGGCCCCATAGGATTTCCAAGGCTGTAAATTTTCATGGAAACCTACTGCCATATCTTTTCTCTACCAGAGTGACTGGTAGGTTTGAACCACCAACCTTTTGTTAACAGCAGAGTGTTTGTTGAGTTCTTTTTCATCCTTCATAATTCAAGTATCCTGTAGCCAAGGTTATGGTGAGTCTGACCTACCTTTACCATGAGTCTGGCTAGTTGTTAACACCAAATTTCATTATTGTCCTAGAGAAGGCTGCTAATCCTTCCATTTTGCATCGGTTTGATCCTCACCCTTAGGCAGAGAGAGAATTACTAAAATATTTTCTTAAATTCCTGGCATTGTGGTCAGGAAAGGCTAATGACATTCTGCCTCAGGCATTATGGGAAAAGTAGTATTAGAGTCCAGTTTCAGGAAAAAGTTGATCTTCACTCTTGACAGCTTTCCCCACTCAGCATTTTACGTCCTTTCATGTTCTAGCGTATAGCACCTTCGGATATTCCTAAATCGAACCTCCCTGCAGCAATTTAATTTAGGAAATAAGGCAAACCAGTAAAACAAATGAGGAATTTAATGCAGTCCGCACCAATCCACAATAAAATGGAGGGTTGTGCTAGGTTAATTAACTACAACTCCCGTGAGGCAATGAGAGGAGAGGCGGAAGTCACTATCTTTTTCTCGTCCGCACCCGCACGTTCCATAATGAAAGATGCTCACTTTAAAATAAAGCAGTGTCCGCTTAATGAAATTGTAGGGGAGGAGGAATTGGTAACTTGAATTCAAAAATACTCTGTTTTACAAGAGAACTAACAAGCAATCGTCTCCAGTGCTCCACCTCAGTAACAATCACCTAGCATCTAAGGCCGTTGTTACTTCACTTGGGCGGTCCCGCCCCCCGGGGGGGGGGCAACGGAAGTGACGATAATGGACGCTCCATTAAAATAGCTGTACGAGAAATTCTGAGTCTCTCTCGGCCTTAGCGCCATCTTGTTAGGTAGGTGTCTTTGGTGTGTATGGATTCGCGAACAATCCATTAGCATCTGGCCGCTGCACTTACCATCATCCCAGCAAACTAACTGTAGCCTTTTTCTTTTTCCCTGTAGAAGCCTCCGAACCATGAGAGCTAAGGTGAGCCGGTCCCGAACGGTGAACTGAGGCGGTAGGGATTGGCGAGAGGGGGAAACTAGGAAGTCAGCCGTGGTTTGCAAACCGCTGGTTTTCACGGGTGTCCAAGAGCTACTGAGATAGGATAATTTGGAAGGAAGTAGAGGAGTTGGAGAAGGGATGATGTAGGGAGAGATGGCAGAGGTAGAAGATTGCACGCGAGATTTATATCGGGTGATCCAAATTGATGCGGTTGCAGCGACTAAGCCCTCATAGTGGAATTTGCCTACTGTTAAATAGTGCTTTGATGCCCTCTACATAACCTGTAAATATGTTAAACTATTAACTGAAATTATTGATCTTCTGTTTAAAATTTCTCTTATTTTCGGTTGCCAGTGGAGGAAGAAGCGAATGCGCAGGTATGTTGAGACTTTGCCAATAAAGGAGGAGGGAAGGGAGCACACCTTCGGTAAAACTTACGGAAAACATTCGCCTTAGAAATCTAAAAGAACTAAGTGAAAAGTGTTAAGAACATTGACCTGCCGGACGCAGGAATTGAAAACAAAACCGTAACGCTACTTGGTTTGACCATTCCCTGTATTGTATATAATGGATAAGTGACTGAGCGTGGGTTTGGTGGCAGGAGTTACATTTCTATGTCTTTTAGGCTGAAGCGCAAAAGAAGAAAGATGAGGCAGAGGTCCAAGTAAACTCTAGTGTGTGCACCCACGAAAACCACAACAACAGGAATATGGAATGCCGGAGTCTGAGGGCGCTGGTACAAGTTGTTGACTGCATGCTACTGTCTAGAATTTCCGTCTCAGTGGATCTAGGACTTCCATCGCCATTGTATCGCTGCGAATGCCTCTGAGAGGCCCAAGTGATTTGAAACAAATCAGTCCCTTTTGATCTTTTGCCCTGAACATTCTGGACTAGTTCTGTTCTCAGTTGTGGCTGAGTGTAACATGTGCACAATAAATCATCTCTTCTGCTGTCTTAGCTGAAGAATCAAATCGTCGTCTTGTGATTTTTCTTTTTTTCCCAATTTTTTTGGGGGTGGGGGTTCTGTATCATTCTGTGCTTCGTTGCTAGCGACGGGTGCTCCACAGGATGTGAAGAAACTAGGCTACTCTGCTACAGAGCTGTGGCGTGGGCCCTGGAATTGGCATTTAGTAGCCCTTCCTGCAGGGTAAGGGTGTTGTACGCGTCTAGGGACAGGTTACTGGGTGGTGTGGGGCAAATGCTGACTGCAACTTTGCCCCCTTTCCAGATAAGTGTAGGTAGTGTGTTTGAGCGCTTGAAGCGCTGTTTTGTTTGGGTTGCCATAGTGAGACGCAGGGCTTTGTGGGAACTTCCTGTGGTTTGTCGTTCAAATACTTAGCACGCCATAGAGTATAGTTCCGGGTCTGTTGACTAGAGCGTCATTTCTTCCGCAGGAAGCGGAAGGACGACAGGGTGGGCGGCTCTTTGTCGAAGCTAGAGAACCGGCAGGCGGCAGCAGCAACTACGGCGGCGGCGGCAGGTGAGGGAGGCGGGAGAGTTAGGTGGAGGCCGCGCCCGGAGGGGAGGAGTCGGGCCAGCCCAGCGGCTGGGCTCGGCCGGTCCACACATGGCCCCCTAGGAATGAGCTGGCTCTTCCTAACACTCCAAGGCTGAGCCCCTTTTCTGACTGACCCCGCTTCGCGAGCAAACGCCAGCTTCGTGACGTCACAGCCCTGCCCACCCACCCCCTTAGCTTGATGTCACCTGGAGCACACCCCACTCCCGCCCCACCACACACAGTTTTCATGTCATGCTCCCGTAGTGTCTTACTCAGCTGGTCCACGGCTGAGCGCAGGCAGCACTGCACGGAACCTGCCAAGCTAGAAGACTTGCTGCGGGACAACTCCTAGGACTTCTTGCAAACTCTGGGATATTACAAAGCGTCGTAATCACCGTCCCAAAGTCTGATGTGCCATCCCACTGCGCTATTGGTCGCTGCTCTTGCATGGTTGCCCCTGCACCGCCTCCCCCCGCCACCACCGCGATCCTGTCCCAACCTTTTACTGGGGTCTGATCCCTACGTTCTCTTTCATCTTGAGGCAGGGCACATCCCTCATTTCTTGTTTTCCAACCTATCCTCTCAGTTTCTCCAAATTAGTTCTGTCCCTTCTCTTACTGGCGACTTCTTTCTTTGACACGTGAAGTGGAGTTTAAACCCTAAGGAAATTGTGACGTGCCCAGAGCTTTTGACGTTTTGTCAGACTTCGTTCTTGTGACAACCACTCCTGCAGTCCTCCACTTTTACCGCTTCTCCCACCCAAGTCTCTGTTTTTTCCTGTTCAGAACCCAGCAGTGATGTGGAGGTGGAGACCCACAGGAGCCCCGGACTACACCTGAGCTACCTCAGGTATTGAATAATCCTAGAGGAGTTGGGAGGGGGGGAATATATCTGATTAACTGCTTTTGATGGGACTTGCTTCATGGGTCAGGCTTGAGTAGACTGTAATTTATTCTTCACTTAGTGATTTCGCTTTTAGTAAAAACTGTCTTCTCTTTTAGCACTCTTTTCCTTAATTTTTTGTGTTACTCTGAGGTTATTCCTTTTGGAGCAAAAAGACTCCGCCTTTTTTTACAGAGTATTTGGTAATTCTGGCTTCTGGTCTGTTCAGTTAATTTTAAGGGGATCTGAAGGTAAAGTCCATGCATTGGGTCAGAGGGATTGATACCAAAGAAATCAGGAAAGCTTTTTTGTGCTCACGGGGAAACAATAAGGAGTTTTCCTGTTAGGACAGCAGGGGGAGCCTGAACACTGCTTAGGAAAGGTTTAGGAGGTCAGACACGTGGTGGCAATCTCCCAATCTTGTGGAGGGAGGGTGAGTTAGAACCAGGGCAGTGGACTGACGCCTGTTCCTGAGCTCTCTTGGGAAAGAGATTTAAAAAGCTTTTATGGAGTCTATAAATAAAAAGGATCTTTATGGGGTGAGGAGTGGTGTGGTTTGATATCAGTAGGAACTTCCCATAGGGAAGGGGGCAGGAAAAAGCTATAGAATGGGGAAAGAAAGGTCCCTTGTTCCTGTGGAGTTAACTTCTTCCTCCCACCTTGGCCTTTTCACAAATGGTTTTATTCTGGGGCCTAGAAGTAGATATTCTAGCTGTTAAACTCCTTTCCTGAAAGGGGCATAGTGGGTAGAGGTAGGCTGTTCTAATGGGTTGAAGGTGTTGATGGGAGAGGAAAGAATACACAAATTTATGAACTGCCCTCAAGCTGGTCATACCAATCTTTTCACCTAGGATTTCTTGAGGTTTAGCGATCTGAGACTTAACAGGGCCCTCTCCTGAGAGCCCAAGAAAGAAGGGTCAAGGGATATTAGTTTTTTGGCACCAGTGTCTCCATCATCCCTAATTGCTCACCAGCCTATTTTGGCCATGATTCCCTGTCTCCTCACAGTTCATTTAGACACCAACACTAGTTTTAATTTCACTTCCACAACTTTAATAAGGTCAGCTCAGAAGAGGAGATAAAATCCAACACTCTTCTCTCCCTTCCCCCTCTTCGGCTAGCCTATCATCCTTGAGATGAGGTGGCTTCACCCCAGCTCCCTCCCTCCCCGCCCCCACCTCTCCCTTAGCCAGGCAAGTATGAATCATTCTGACCCAGACCAGGTGCACAAGTGCCTGGGTGGAGACTTCTGACGTACCAGCCAGTCAAAACAAGAATTCTTCTCCCTTAGATTCTCTGTCTTCAAAGCCATTTCTCCTTTGGCCTGCCTCTCACTGGGTTGCCCACCTCTGTGATAAAGAGTGGTGGCTTCTCTAAAGGACTCCTGTTTGACACAGCTTTCCTTTTTCCTAGCTGTCACCAAGAGTGGCAAGAAAAGGAAGAAAGCCCTGAGTTGGGGGGAACCAGGATGCCTGACCGGGACAGCTATGCCAATGGCACTGGTGGGAGCAGCAGTGGAGGCCCTGGAGGTGGTGGCAGCGAGGAAGCCAGTGGCGCAGGGGCAGGCAATGTTGGGTCCAACTCAGATGCCATCTGCAGAGACTTTCTGAGGAATGTGTGCAAGCGAGGCAAACGTTGCCGTTATCGCCATCCAGACATGAGCGAGGTATCCAACTTGGGGGTGAGCAAAAACGAGTTCATTTTCTGCCATGACTTCCAGAACAAGGAATGTAGTCGCCCAAACTGCCGATTCATCCATGGCTCCAAAGAGGATGAGGATGGTTATAAGAAGACAGGAGAGCTTCCCCCTCGGCTGAGGCAGAAAGTGGCAGCTGGCCTGGGCCTTTCTCCAGCTGACCTACCTAATGGCAAGGAGGAAGTCCCTATCTGCCGTGACTTTCTCAAGGGGGATTGCCAGAGAGGAACCAAGTGCAAGTTCCGTCACCTGCAACGGGATTTTGAGTTTGATGCTCGGGGTGGTGGAGGAACTGGTGGTGGGGGTTCAACAGGGCCCATCCCCCCAGGACGGCGTCATGATCTCTATGATATCTATGACCTCCCTGAGAGAAGCTTTGAGGACCATGAGCCGGGCCCCAAGCGTCGGCGAGGTGGGTGCTGTCCACCAGATGGTCCCCATTTTGAATCGTATGACTACAACCTGGCTTCATCCCGAGGAGTGGAGTGCAGACTGCTGGAGGAGGAGAATGCAATGCTCAGGAAGCGGGTAGAGGAACTAAAGAAGCAAGTCAGTAACCTGCTGGCCACCAATGAGGTGCTGCTGGAACAAAATGCCCAGTTTCGTAATCAGGCCAAGGTCATGACCCTGAGCTCCACTGCACCAGCCACTGAGCAGACTCTGGCCCCTACTGTGGGCACTGTTGCCACCTTTAACCATGGCATTGCCCAGACTCATACTACTCTCAGCAGCCAGGCTCTCCAGCCCCGCCCCGTATCCCAACAAGAACTGGTGGCCCCTGCTGGAGCTCCAGCTGCTCCCCCAACTAATGCTGCACCTCCTGCTGCTCCACCACCCCCACCTCCACACTTGAACCCAGAAATCACACCACTGTCAGCTGCTCTGGCTCAAACAATCGCCCAGGGAATGGCACCCCCACCTGTCTCCATGGCTCCTGTGGCTGTATCTGTGGCTCCTGTGGCCCCTGTGGCTGTGTCAATGGCCCAGCCCTTGGCAGGAATCACAATGAGCCACACCACAACCCCCATGGTGACTTACCCCATTGCTTCCCAGAGCATGCGCATCACAGCCATGCCACACTGATGGAGCAACTGGACACTCTCTTGATATAGTCTTCTAGGCTGGGTCAAGGGGCTCTTACTCGCCCACTCACCTAGCCCTCCCAGGCCCTATCTGAAGGGTTCACTCAAGAACTGGACAAGAGACTACAAGGAATATGCTGAGAAGGGGTTGGGCTGGTGTGTTTTCTCTCGCCTCCCTTTCGTGAATATCCTCTTGTCCATTTTCATTCAAGCCTTACAGAAGGGGCTTGCTTGGGAGTGCAGACTGAAGCCAGCAGAGAAGAAGGACTGCCTAAGGGGCTGTGTGTCCCCTCTTGGGAAGTGGAGGACAACCTTGGTCTTGTCCTCTGTTCTGCACAGCACAGGTTCCAGCACTGGCTTTGGAAGGGGAAAAAAACCCTACTCAGCGGGAAAGCCAGGAAAGATGGGAAGTAGGTGGCCAGGAGAGAAGGCCTAGTAGGAGCCTTCAGACAACATAGGGCCCAGTTGAGTTGGACAATACAGAAATTGCTCCTGGGTCTCTGAGAGGTGGGGACCATAGTATTCCAGCCCAAAGGCTAGGGGAGTATTCATTACCTTAGGTTGGGCTGGAAATCACAGGGCAGGGCCCACCACTTTCCAAAGAAATAAAAAGTAATTATTTTTAACAAATGGAGGCAGTGAAAATTTGCTTAGATATCCTGTGTGGGGAGATAGCAGTAAGTAGATCTCATGCTAAAATGGGATAGAGACCCTACCCTCACATAGCTTGGGTAAGGTTGGAGGGAGGTGAGTGAAGGATAGGGACCCAGAACATGACCAAGCAGGGCTTTGAGGGAAGGCACTTTGTGGGGTAAAAGCGTTGGAGCCACCTGGTCTAGTTTAAAAATAGCCTCATCTGTTTCTGGTCTCTGCATGTGCTATTCCCAGGTTGCCTTGGTAACCAGGGCTCCTAGGGTCATTTAGGGGGGCAGGTACTGAAGAAGGTACATGTGATGGGAATGGGATGTTATATAGTTGACGATTCCTTCCCTTATTCAAACAGGGCAGGTGGTGGTTGCCTTTCTGAGTTGTTGATGGCAGTTAATGTCCCTCCTACCCTATCTATTCCTCAGTGGCCAATGCCTTAATCCTTAAAGCCTTGGGAGGTGCTTAGAAAAGGAGAGTTCTTCTGGGGACACAAACCCTCAGGGTTCATCCCTTCCCTCTGCCTCCACATAGAACTAGAAAGGGTTTTAAATCCATTTGAGGATCAAAAGGCCAGGGGCCCCAGTAACCAAACCTCAGTTCCTCATCAGCTTCTGGCTGGTGTAGGGGAAACAACTCAGGTGTCTAGTCTAATGAAACAGTGTATTTTGGGGTAGGGAAAGTGATCCTGGGTTGTGCTCCCCCATCATACCTCCTGCTACCTCTTGCTCTCTTGGCTGGTTGATCACTTAGGTTATACCTGGGGATAGAAGCCTGGGTCACGACCAGTCATTTAAAAAAAAAAAAAAATGGATCTAAAGACTAAAAGTGGGCAAATACTTGTTGAGTATGGAGATGACACATTGATAAGCTTATTGATTTTCTGGCAAGATTCTAGATTATTAAAAGATGATTGATGAGCATTTAGAGAAGAATGTGATCATAGATACCAATGTGAATTCTTTCTAGTCAAGTCCTAACAAACTATTTCCTTTTTGCCAAGTATTTCTGAGGAGGTAGATTAGGGAAACTAGACATTGTATGTTCTGTATTAATGTGCTCCAACTAAAGACCACGAGGATACACCTGTGGTTGAACCAGTTGGGTTTAATGCTCTTTGCAATGAGGAGAGCATACACCATGGGAACAGTGGTGTGTATCAGCAAGAAGGTGTTAGAAAGGACTTACAGAATTTGAACTTTGGTAGTAATTTGGGAAGGTTCAAAGAAGGGGGAGTTCATTCTGGATTCTAGTGCTATCAAGGAAGCAGGGATAATTCTGTGACTGGGTATCTTATCTAGAAGGGTGGCAGACTAGAGCAAGGCTTAGGCTGTAACTGGTAAAGAAGCAGCTGTCAGTCATTAGCTGGGAGAGGGGATGTGTGGTATTTTGTGATTTGCACACTGACCTTGTTGTTGTCTGTGCTTAAACAAAACTATGACGTGCTCTTGTTTTTTGTCTCACTTCATCATAGTCACTGAGTGATGATCTTGTCTGATGTTGATATTTTGTGAGATTGTTTTTGCCCCACAGGAGAACACCACGGCCTAGCTGTGAGAGCCAGATCAGCCTCCAACACCCAGAGCCTAGCTATGTGAGGCTATTTACCAGATGTCAAGAGCTGCTTTCCTCTTTCTCACCTGCTAAGTCATTGCAGATAAGAAAAAATTATGGGTCAGTTAGTAGTAAAACTTGGTGGAATTAGAACAGTTTTACCCAGCAAGTGTCAATTCATGTTAAAGAGGCTCTAGTGGTATGCTCAAGGGCTATGTCTTATTTAAAAAAAAAAAAAAACTAATTTGGATAAACATGCAGAAGCCCATTATCAACAGTAACACAAGGAAGTACTAGATTATTCAAAGTGTCTGTCAGTTGGATTGACTATGAAACACTGGATCTCCCCTCATTAAAAAAAAAAAAAACAGGAATAACGAAACCTTAAGCTTGTCTGAGGAACAATGCAAAGGTCTACATTAGCAACAGTTCACATGAGAACAACCTGGGACTGCCGTTGTCTACAAAAACTAAATCTTTGTCCTCATTAATATCTCAATATTTATTAAGGGCCTGCTATGTTCTATACACTCTTCTAGAAGGTCCATAGGATAGTAGGAGCTGTAGTCATGGATTGTAAATACAGCAGTTCCACCATGTTCAAGTGGAAACACTCCTGAAGTATTGTGTTCCCTTCTGAATGTAAGGTTTTAAGAGGGTCATTGACAAACCAGTGGTGTAGCTGAAGAAAATTAGCAAGAGAAGACTGAAGGGAGACCCAATAAATGTCTTCAAATACTTGAAGGGCTGCCCTGTGGAGAATAGGACGAAAGGTTCTGTGTTGTTACTCAGGAAATAAACAGGAAGTTCTAAAAATTAACATGTACTGGGTGCTTAATATAAACCAAGGCACCATGTTAGGCACTTTACATGTAATACCTCATTGACGTAACAGGTATTGTACCCGTTTTACATAAGAGAAAGCAGGTTTAGAGTAACCTGCCCAGGGGATCCCTCCCTCTAGTGAGTGATGGGCCCAGAATTCTAGTCAGGCAGTCTGACTCCAGACATGGCATAAGAAAGTTCTAATGATAGGCCATCCAATAATGAGACCACTACGTTGCAGTAACTTGTAAGGAATAACCCAAGAAATTTCCTCAAATCCTGCTGCTGCTTCTGAGCAGGCACACCTGGCCCTCTTGTCTCCCCTAGGAGGCAATTATAGTATGTAAAATGCAGATTGTGTATCCAGGAAGTTTCTATATTGCCTCTCCTCACCTAGGCCCCACCCTTAAAGACACTTCCTCTGACAAATGGCCCGCTTTTCCTGTTGCCCACTTACTACTTATCACCACCAGGTGGCACCTGGGCACAAGATTGTCAATGGGCCGCGACCCACCCTGTTTACTAGTTCCCGTGCCTGCATTGCAGCTTCTGATCCTGTAGCTCCTGGGCCCCAGCTGCAAACTAGGCCCTCCTGGGAGTGAGCTTTCATCCCACAAATACCATCTTCAATACAAGGGTCTGATGACCTGGATGGTGTGAGGATAAGAAGTTTGGAAAGGAACCTCCATAATCCCCCACTCCTATCAACCCTACTCTAAAATGTCAGTTTATAGAGTTTTCCCTCCAAGAAAGTTGGTTTTTTTTTTCCTAGTACAGTTCTGCTTCATCAGTTGACAAGCAGATCTACCTCCTTTAAGCCCCTTTTCTGCCTGCTCACCTCTGGGGATATGGAAGATATGGGAGGCAAACAGAAAATTGTGCCTTACACAGTTTTGCAAACTGAATATAGCAGCCTACTGGCTGCAGGCAGATACAGAAAGGGAAGTGAGGGAACTAAGGGAGAGAGACTGGGCAGGGACAGGTTTTAAGCAGCTTTGATGAAATACAGCCTGATGAAATCTATGCCCTGCAGAGTCAGATAAAATTTATCAACTGCACATCTAATCTCTCCCCAACAATCAACCCTGGTTCCCCTAATGTATCAGACAGAATAACACAATAAACCCCATATATACTGCATTAAAAGATCATCTTATGTCCAATCCATACCTCTCCTGCTTCCAATTAGTCTAGCTTTTAGGTCCCCAGACAACCTCTCTAAGACCAGTTAACTAATAATTTAAAAAAGAAACCAAACTCAATGCCGTCAAATTGATTTCCACTCATAGTGACCCCTCCTTGGGTTTCCAAGTCATTTACACTGCGGAAGTAGATTGCCCTATCTTCCTTCCAAGGAGTGGCTGGTGGATTTGAACCACCAGCCTTATGGTTAGCAGTCAAATGCCTTAGGCACTAACGCCACCAGAGCTCCTATAACTAATAATAGTCAACGTCAATGTACCCTGTACTTTACCTTTCCTAAACCTACACAGTACAATGTAGAACTGCATTAGTTCTACCTCTGACTATATTCCAAAATCTTCCAATTCAAGCAAATGAGAAACTGAATCATCTCACTGCCCTTGACTTCTTGACTTTTCTTGCAGTTCCTCAGGGTCAGATAATTCTTGGAAAATGTAATCATTTCTGCTGCAGTTGAGCACCTCATTTTTGGAAACTTTTTTTTTTTTTTTTTTAAGAGACGATTTAGTTTTATTTCCCCAGTAGAGATAGCTAACTCTTGGAGGTTTCCAAAAAGAAATAAAGCTTCACTTCCTATTCACTCCTCTGCTGCTCCCCGCCCCTTCCACCACCAAATAAAGGCTGGCTTATCCCAACTCTGCAATTCTCTGTTTATCCGGTTTTTTCCTAGTGTCTGTCATTACACTACAAGGTAGAGGTAGACCGGATAGATGAGGTCAGTCATCGAATGCTTTCATTCCAAATAGGGTAATTTTCTTTCCTCTTGGTAAAGACAGCAAAGGACAACCTGAAGGATGTTTTTTGAGTATGAAAAATAGGGAAAGCTGACAAACGAACAGAGAGGAATCCCAGAAGGAAATCTGACCCTCCATAACTTCGCAACTCCAGCTCCCTCTAAAACCGAGTAATAGGCTATGCTCCTCTGCATGACGTCATACCACAGGCACTCCAATCCCACGTGGGAAGAGATCCTGGTCCCGCCTCTCCTCTTTAAATATTATACCATGCCTTCTCCTCTTTTTCACCAATCAAAGACCGGTCTTTAGACCCTTTCCTCCTTTTTCCGCCATCCAGACCTCCCATCTTGGCACTCTTGTCCAATCAAGAAGGCCCTGTCGTGCTGAAGCTCGCTCTCTCCCTTCTCCAAGCATGAAAGGCGGAGTTTCGGCTTTTTGACTCCACCTTGGTCTACCCGCCGCGGACCAACCCGAACCGCCAAATAGGAGGGGGCGTGGCTTGAAGTCCCTTCCCCCCACCCTGGGGATTACGGTTTGCAGGGGGGAGCTGGCCGCAGGACCAGGCAACCTCCCGCCGGTGCCTGGGTCAGGCGGGCCCTCCCTGAGGTGGCACTATGGAGCGTTCTCCAGTGGAAGGCTCCAGCCCCGGCCCTGCGGACCAGCCCT